AGGGGCGACACCTTGATACAATTCTGTCAAGAAAAAGACATGATAATTGCCAATACATTTTTTCAGTTGCCACCACGCCGTCTGTATACTTGGACTTCTCCAATGCATACATCTCAACATATTGTGCGAAATCAAATTGATTATGTATTGGTAAACAAAAGATTTAGAAATTGTATCAAGAGCGCGAAAACCTATCCGGGGGCAGATATTGGGTCTGACCACAATCCAGTGGTTATTCGCATCTATTGTAAGCCCAAAAAAGTTAAGTCAAAGAGCCAGCAAGTGAAATTAAATCTAAAAAAGCTTACGGATCCGAACACCAAACTCGAAGTCTCGAACGATCTGAATGATCAATTGAGTAAATTATCTCCTTCAATAACAAGTCCTGAAATATGGACCTGCCTCAAGCAAGCTATACATAATACCTGTACTAAGTTCCTTCGACCATCGACAACAACGAAGAAGCAGGAATGGATGAGTGATTTCATTATACAGCTAATGGAAGATCGGAGATTGTGCAAGAATATTGATCCTCTGCGCTATAAGGAGCTCGATAATATTATTAGAAAAGAAATTAAGAAGGCTCGTGAGACGCATTTCAAAAATAAGTGTGAAATCATGGAAGACCTGCACAACAAACACGATAGCTTCAATGTGCACAAAAATATTAAAGAAATGTTGGGACTTAAGTGCAGCAATTTAACTAGCTTAGCCGATACAAACGGGCAGCTACTTTTTAGTATTGAGGCCAAGAAGGATAGATGGTTGGAATACATATCAAAAATGTTTGAAGACCCAACAAGACACCTCGCAATGTCCTTAACTGGTAATGATACTGGCCCACCCATAATAAAAGCAGAAATTTTATATGCGTTAAAATTGGCTAAATTGGGCAGAACCCCAGGTCCAGATGGCATCCCAGTAGAGGTCGTTAAACTCTTGGAAGGGGAGAACATAAACTTGCTCAAACGATTATTCAATCACATTTATGACACAGGTGACCTCCCAACCGAGTGGCTAAGATCTACGTTTATTACCCTCCCGAAAAAGAAAAACGCTAGAAAATGCGAGGAATATCGTACAATTAGTCTAATGAGCCACGTGCTAAAGTTATTTTTGACCGTCATACATAACAGGATAAGAAGTAAGTGTGACGAACAATTGGGAGATAACCAGTTTGGCTTTCGCTCTGGTGTAGGCACACGTGAGGCTCTTTTTGCTCTGAATGTCCTTGTACAGAAGTGTCAAGATATGCAGAATGACGTCTTCCTATGCTTTATAGACTATGAAAAAGCTTTTGACAAGGTAAAGCATGACGTTCTCATAAATCGTTTAATTGACACCGGTCTCGATGAAAAGGATCTAAGAGTAATCAGAAACCTGTACAAAGACCAAAAAGCAACCGTGAAAGTGCATCACGAGGAAACGGATGAGATTGCTATTTACCGTGGTGTTCGTCAAGGTTGTATATTATCTCCGTTGCTATTCAATGTATATTCCGAAGCAACTATATCAGAGGCCATTGAGGGGTTAGAGGTTGGTGTGAAAGTTAACGGAAAGATAATCAACAACATTCGCTATGCAGACGACACTGTTTTAATAGCCTCGTCAATGGATGATTTACAAATGCTTGTTAATAAAGTTCATGAAACTAGCGAAAGAGACGGTCTGACTATTAATGCAGTAAAGACGAAGGTGATGGTCATTTCCCGAAACGATACTTTAGTTCCTAATTTATCCGTAGCTGGTAGAACGTTGGAACGGGTGCGGCAATACAAGTATTTGGGAACTTGGGTTACAAACGAGTGGAATCCTGATCAGGAAATTAGGTCTCGAATCGAAATTGCCCGAGGATCTTTCAACAAAATGAGGAAAGTTTTGTGCTGCCGTCACATGACCATTAAACTCCGAGTCCGACTTCTCCTTTGTTACATATGGCCAATTGTTCTGTACGGCTGTGAAGCTTGGACAATTAAAGAAGATACCCGCCGGCGCTTAGAAGCATTTGAGATGTGGTGCTATCGTCGCATGCTTCGAATAAGCTGGATCCAGAAGGTCTCTAACGAGAAGGTTCTGAAACGAGTTGGAATGTCGAAAAAACTTTTGCAGAACATTAAACAACGGAAAGTTGCGTACCTGGGCCACGTGTTGCGCCATGACCGCTACCACCTCCTTCAATTAATTATAATGGGTAAAATCCAGGGTAAACGGCGTGTTGGTAGAAGGAAGAAATCATGGCTCCGCAACGTTAGAGAATGGACAGGTATTGCAACTGCAGAAGAGTTGCTGCATCTGGCACAGGACAAGACACGCTTCAAGATACTGACGGCCAACCTCCAGTAATGGAGAGGCACTAAAAGAAGAAGAAGACAATTTTATCGTATTCATGTTGAGGCACAATGGAACTGGTAGGAACTAAATACCAATAGCCTTTGTGTGAAAACAGACGTAGTAATGCGCTTTACGATAAAAAACAGGGGATTTACAACATATTTAGGTCTGGGCCTCAGATATCTGCTTCTTGATAATTTTTCAATGTAATACGCAAGTAGGTGATCAGCCTCCTGTGCCTGACGTCATCCACTTAATGGGTAAAGCAAGCCGGTTTCCTCACGATGGTTTCCTTCACCGTTCGAGCGCATGTTAAATGCGCACATAGAAAGAATGTCCATTGGTGCACAGCCGGGGATCGAACCTACGAACTCAGGGATGAGAGTCACACGCTGGCTAAGCCAACTCTGCGCTTTACGATTACCCTCCAATATTCTTTTTCGTTCTTCGCTTACAAGATCACTTTTTTTTCAAAATTTTACTTTAACGTCTTCCCGAACATGAAAGAGACTATTGTATGTCCATGTATGTTATTTTATTCTGCTGGAACTATATTTCATGGGGCACGCCTGTTGTAGCACGCTGCAAAACTTTTTCCCCAACCTATTATTTATTTCTATTTAAAGTTGCTGAACTATCCCTTCGCATGGATCCTCCAGGTACATTCTGTGTTCGGGGTGTGTCAGTGACTTGGGTAATGAAGCTATTGTCAGAGCCACGTTTGTTTCCTACTCTTCGTGTATTCGAAAGACCAGCAGCATGGCCAGCGATGTGCTCGTATGTACTATATTATAGTTAAAGAGTGGTTATATTCTATGTATTACGACTTAGGATAGCTGATCATTTCTAAAAATGTGTTAGGTTAGCCTTGAATAGTAGGCATATCCTTCTCAAATGAAATAAGATATGTGAATGATATGCGTATTGATTTCGTCCATACATCTGTTTTACGTTTCTTTACTTACTGTTGAACTTGCCTTGGTGTGGCTATACATACCATCAGTCCCATAAGTTTAATTATTTAGGAATATTGTAAGTAATTAACAATGAAAGCCTTTTCACAAGCCTCAAATGTTAAAATGTAAGCCATTTTAATAATATAATTATAATTAGAATTAAATATCTATAGAACTGAAAGCAACTGTAAGGGGCCTATGTGTTACAGGAAACACTGATTGGGTAATGGAAAAGTATTATAATTGAATTAAATTAAATAAACAAAACAAACAAACTTAAACAAAATTTAATGCCCGATTAGTGAGACTATTTAAGAAAGCATAGCTTTTTTAGTCTTTTTAGTTATTACCTTACTGGCTTAAGTACCCTTTATCATATAACATATATAAGTAACCATTAGTAACAAACGATTCTGAGTATGGTTGTATATCTTTTTTTAAAAGAGTACTCAATTATTATAAAGTATTTCAGGATAACAACAATTTAACATAAAGCATAATTAATAATTGTGTATAAAAATTACCCAAAATTGATCTAAATTTGACTTTTCGGGGGATTGTAACGTTCGAGTAACGAAATAGCAAAAAAATGTAACCCTGCTGATATAAAAAGAATATTTGTAGCAAAGAGTTGCATTACCAAAGTCGAAACAACAAGAACAAGTGCTCCAAAAATCTTAAGGTATGAATGAATATTCTTTAAAGTTTTTGTTATAATTATTTTTGCTTTTTGCGTCGTTGAATTTTAATATATCCTGTTTTAATTAGTTAACTAGGTTTGATTAAAATTAATTGGGTCAAAATGGGGTTAAATAATTTTTGTATAATGTATGGTTCGTTTAACATGGATTAGATGGGTATCAGTTTCGCTTAATTGTGTTTAATCAATTACATACATCTTTTACTGGGAGGATTTTTATAATCCCCTAATAAGTATCCTTTATATTAAAGAACACTTTATGTAAATAATTATTATTTAAGATAATAATACGATAACTTTGCAATCAATTTTACAAAGAATAAACAAAGTAATTAATTTTCGTTTATTTTGCCATATTATCAATATAAAAAATTTACTATTCCCCGGTTTATTTACGTGAAATTGGTACATTTAGCCCGTGATTATGCTGCTCCTTTTGGAATCACCCAGATCTTTTAACACAAGTGGCCGACTTAATCAAAATTAGCTTAGAATCGATTCTTAATATGCAGCTTAACGAACAATCTTGGACCCAAGCATCCCTACCCATCCGTTATGGTGGTTTAGGGATTCGCTAAATTTCCAGTGTCACTTTGCCAGCCATCCTATCTTCTCTCCATAGTTCAGCAAATCTCATAAGTAAAATTGTAAGGACATCCCCTATAAACTTCGAGATTGCTGTCTTTGAAGAAGCTAGAAACTGATTTTTATTTTTTTAATATAGATAAACATATTTCATATTTACAGTCAAGTATACAGTATTAACAATTTTCTTAACCTACAAAGTAATAATAAAAATAATTAAAAAATGTTTAAAAGAAAATCAAAACAAATTTAAAAAGTTTGGTCTGTGGCAGTGTACCTTTCACGCTGGCAGCATTTCCTTGCTGTATTGCGATACTTATTCGTTGAGCCAGAAAAGTGCCAGCTCTGGTCACCGGTACTATCTACTAGGCTAGAAAAAAACTATAATATAGATAGAAACTATTATTCAGGAAAACATTTTTTCTCAGATGTTACGATTAGCGGTATGTGTCGGACTCTGTCTTCATGTGGTCTTAAGTGACCCAGCAACTACCGCGGCCAGTGTACCAGGGGTCCCAACTGTGCCAACTTCACCTGCATTTGTGAACCCCAATTTAGCTGGTTACCCAGCGTATTCTGGATACAATGGATACAGGAGTCCTTATAATGCTGCTAGTCCAAATGTACCTATAATTAGTTATTCCAACAACCGTGGTCCAGATGGAAGTTACGCATACAGGTGATTCATTATTTAAATGTTTATTTTATAATCTTTCGAAAAAAAATTTTATTCTTATAGTTTGAACTGTTCGTATACTTGTTAAAATCACGATGTCATTCAAAGTTGAAATTATCTTGAATTGATTTTATATATCTCTTTGTTTTATGATGTTTTACAATGCAAAAATAATTTATATACATATACAAACCTAAAATATACGTATATAGAGGAACGAAAAATGTTAGTGGTATATATCTCTAGATAGAAACTGCCAATACTCCAACACGTATTCTAAATATAATTGTATAGATATTTTAGATAATACAATAAACTACTAAAACACTACAAAGAACTATTATTTTATACGACTTTTTTTTTTAATATACGAACAATTTTTTTTAATATTTTAAGTTTCGCTACGGCAGACGGAAAGCAAGCCCAAGAAAGTGGATTTTTGAAAGACGCCTATATTGACAACACTGGATCACCACAAGGAACACAGGTAAGATATCCCATACATCATAGGCATTATTAGCTATTAATTTGTCCTAGGCGCGACAGGCTGTTTCAGCGCAGAGGAATCAGTCACCCATGTAGACCTGGAATGCGAGGCTGTGGCTAAACAACGTACTGAAATCCTCGGAGCAGTGAGGTCGCTCCGTGAAGCCTGTGAAGTGCCCAGGAGACTTTTTTGCTTCTGGAAGGAGCTAGGCAGGCTAAATTAGCCAGCACTTTACGCACGACGGACCAATTATGAGTCTAAGTGCGGAAACTGAGTCCACCAACCTTAACCTTGGCTATTAATTGCACTCCGGAGAAAGCTGAACTACCTGATTCGGTCACCTAGTTTCAAACACGGCTTGTATAGAAGCAAGTTGGAGGTGCCGCACTGCACGATGTCGATTGTAATTTCTTTAAAAACAGCAAAAGAGTGTAACTCCTAGCCCCTTTCCATCTTCCATAGACAGTTTAATATATACAGGTACAGGTTTAGTATATAGATAGGTGTTCCAATAGGCCACATCTCATTAACATCAGGTGGAATTGTGGCCAAACATCTGTCTAAAGTTCTGTATAAATTTTTTTTTGCATCAATTTACAAAACAAGAAAATACCACTAATATGAAAATGTGTTTCAAAACCTTTAATAGGTTTATTATTATTGTAATTCTTACATGTTGTCATCTGATAAATGCCATGAGGCTGATTGCAGATAGAATTTAAAAAAAAAAAAGGTGTTGTCAAAATTTTCAGATGAGAATCAAATAGACTCGTGTCTCTGCAGCATTTAAAGTTCGAAGAATACTTTTTTTTGTTTCAGGTTGTTGAAGGCAGTTATGCTTATACTTCCCCAGAGGGAACTCCCATTCAAGTCAGTTATGTTGCGGATGAAAATGGTAATTATTATAATAGTGTTTACATAATGCGAGTTCTAAACATGATAAGTTTCTCGCTGATGACGATATCCGAAAAGCCTTAAAAACAGCGTTGTAGGTTAATTATGTGTTCGCTTTTTATAAAATCAGTGACGCTAAAACCTCTACGTCTGGGCCTCAGATTTCTGAATCTGTTTCATGATCATTTTTTAATCTAATAGGCAAGTAGGTCAGCCTCCAGTGCCTGACATACGCCGTCGACTTTTTGGGTCTAGAAGACATGTCGGTTTCCTCACGATTCTCCTTCACCGTTCGAGCGAACGTTAAATGCGCACATAGAAATAAAGTCCACTGGTGCACAGCCGGGGATCAAACCTACGACCTCAGAGATGAGAGTCGCACGCTGAAACCAACACTGCTCGCTTTTTATGGTAAATGTAATAAATAATGAAAATCCCCTTTGTTTAATATATATATAAATTACGTTTTGTACAGGTTTTAGACCAGCCGGTGTACACATTCCCGCTGATGGCAAAGGCGTAGCTCCAGCGTTGCTAGGCAACGGCGTCGCTCCTGGGTTGCTAGGCAACGGATACAACAATATTTACGACCCTAGACACAATCGCTTCAATAACTACGACCCACGTTACAATGGTTTTAACAAATATCAAAACCCATACAACTACAATCAATACAATCCCGCAAGGCCGTTTGATGCCCGATACAACCCTTACAATCCGTACCGCAATGTTAAAAATATCAAGAAAACAGTATAATATACGTAATAAAAAGTATGTAGGTACAAATTATTGTATAAATGTAAATAAAATGGTGGTAATGTTGGATTTTGTGTTATTTGATTTTTAATAATACGTTTCATAATCTTTATTCCATAGGAAATCATTTCATTCATATATTTGTTATTTCTGGATACATAGATATTTTTGAAGTTGATGAGAGTGAAATTTTAAGTTGCGCGCGCACCGTGACACAAAATTAACAGAATGAAGTTGCCCACGGGAGATGCTACGGCATAATTTAAAAACAACATTCGAATAATAATAGAATTTATGTTACATTTAATGTAAGAGAATAATAATAAATATTTATTTATTTAATTTTTCAAATGTAAACTGAACTTTATTGACTACAATGACCTCTTTTCCAGTCTTTGATTATTTAATTGTAATTAATTATTTGCATGCAATCAAAAACTATTGTTAATAATGCCAAAGAAGTATAACTTCTTACGCGCGTACATAAGTACATGCACCCTTTTTTTTTAAACTTACTAAACACTTCTTAATTTTAAAATACGCAGACTTTTTGATTTAATTTCCCAATCTGGAAGCATTTCCTTAACTACGACTGTTAATAAACTTATTATAATATACTCTATATTATAATAAGCTTTCAATTATAAGGATTTATATGACTGACAAGTAATAAAAGTCAAAAATCAATTTAAAGGCGATACCCGAAGGTTTGATGAGGCAAGATATGAGCAGTATTATAAATTTTCTTTTAAACCTTGTTGAAGTGTGTCATACTGCAACTGGTTTGATAAGATATGAACGATAAAATATATTTATGTTTTACATAGAATGCAAAATAAATAACGTAAAATAATTTCTGTTAGGTAAAAAATCATATTTTATGAATTCAAGTGCACCACTACAACAACCTTTATAGCTTATTTTTTTATAGTAAATACTATATTATACAATTTCGAACAAAAATATGCTTTTATTTTATTTAAGAGATGATTTTACATATTTGCTATTAATAAAGAAATGTATACTTGTTAAGTATATTACTATTAATATACTTGCAAAGTATATTACAATTTTCTTTACTTTAATTATTTAATAATAAATTAATATAAAACTAATTTTTAATAATAAAAATAATAGTAAAAAAGTCACTTTTAAATGTAAAAGAATTTCACGTTCAAAAAAAAAATTCTAATAATACATATATTTTTTAATCTTTAACTCTGAATAGACATTGTGAATTATTTAATTTAGAAAATCCTATTGTCTTTAAAATTCAAAAAGCTGTGTCAAGTCAGGTTCGAATATTGTCATCACGTAACAGCTCTCAAGGGACGCCCCTCAAAACCTATCCTTTGTTGACTGCCGACGATAAAATATGAATTTTGCATACGTGGCATGGTAATTGCAACAAAAAATTCATATAAATACGCCCTGCGATCTGAAATGCACCATTCTTTACTTGCATTTGTAAGGATCGTCTGGATTTAAGATGTTCTTCGTAAGTATTTTTACTGCATTCTTGATATTATTATTATTATTTAGCTTTCATATTTCGCATTGCTTCACAATAGTTTGAGATCGGATGTTTACTTGAGTATTTTTTTCCTAATGAGCAGTGTTGGCCTAGTGGCTTCAGCTTGCGACTCTCATCCTTGAGATCGTAGGTTCGAACCCCGGCTGTGCACCAATGATTTTCTGTATTTTAATATTCGCTCGAACGGTGAAGGATTTATCTTACCTATTAGATTGACAAATGATCACGAAACAGATACAATATGAGGCCCAGACCTAAAAAAGGTTGTAACGCCACTTTTTTTTATTTTCCTCTTATTTATAATAGCTTTCAACCAGTGGCTGAAATTTATTATGCCCACGCCTTCGTAGGAAAATATTATAATTTGTTATTTAAACATTATTTTATATTTAGATAAAGTTAGGTTATATAACTTAATTAAGTGTTAATATATTACTGGGTGTCAGAAAAGGCTTAATAATAATTAATAATAAATTATTTGTTATATACACCGATTTTGATTGTATATACAAAACAGAATTCTATTTCTTCCTTCATTAAGAATCACATGTTCCATTGTGTTACTATCTTTGATGTTTCGTTTTCAGTTGCTTGCATTACTGGTGCTTGGCGTGGTAGCAGCTGATGTGAGAGATGTTTATTATCAACAGCAAGTGTACACAACGGAACCTATTCCCATATTACGGCAAGAACAGATAATAAATCCCGATGGCTCTTATAGATGGAAGTAAGTATTAGTACTTCTAATGTTATTTATGAAATCTAGTTTTAAGTGAAGCTAAAAATTGTCCACCATATGTATGCTGTACTAGAAGTTATACCATTAGAAGTGACTAAGCCATGCGGCATTAATTCGTAGTCATTGCACTTTTTATGTAATATTATTTTTCACCGACTTTAGTGGGTTGTGGGAACCTGCGCAGTGGATGAAATCTCACTGTTTGGGCAAAGTCTCGGTATGGGATTCAAAGATGCTTGCGTGCACAATAATTCGTGAGCACTTTGCTGGTAGTAGGTAGGATGCGACTTCTGAGGACTATTCAGAGAAGCTTGTGTGGGCCAAATGAAATGTTACGGTATTTATTTCGCGTCAAATGTCAGTCAACATTACTACAATTTTTTTTAACAAAAATGTTCTTTTCTATAGAAAAATGAAAGTGATAATATGGACCAGTTACGGATTTAATCAATAAAAAATACATCGTTTTATTGAAAAATACTATAAAGCAAAGAACAGAGATGCTAACGATTTCTACAGAGATTTTATTTTGTTGTACACAAGAAAGACTAGAAACAAAGTGCTTTAAAAGTACTCTTTGCACAACATATGGTCGGCCTTAAAGTTTTCTAACAGGCAAACCTTAGATTAGGAATTTAAGTAAACCGATTTTAATAGTAATAGATATCACATCACATCACTCGCACAGTAAAATACACAAGCATTGTATAAATATATTTATAAATTTTTTATTCTTAATCCACTCTATTTCTCAGTTATGAAACAGCTAATGGTATTGCAGCTGAAGAAGAGGGAGTGATAAAAAATGCTGGTATACCTGAACAAGAGTCTCTGTCTGCGCAGGGGCAGTATCAATACACAGCGCCTGATGGTCAAGTAAGTTGTAGTATTGAATTATTGCTATTAACTTACTGATAGAATATTAGTGTATCTAAGTGATAAAAAGTTTGTAACTCCTTAACCGTACAAATTTCATCCGTATGGGTGAGAAAATGTATAAAAAGATACTACATTTGCTTACATGACACTTATATCTCGAGTCAATTAAGGATAGTTTAGTATCATACATATAAAATTATTCTTACTTTTAACGTGGTTATCAAATGAAATTGAATTTTATATTCTAATATCACTGAGTAAACACACGCAAGTTATTTATACTATAAAAGTTAATATTTTCTCAGGCGCTTTATTTTTTCTGAAATTGTATACTAGAAGTAGATACAGCTATAGTTAAATTGACAAATGTATTTATTAACGCCTATCAGATCTTGTTAAGTTTAAAAATCACTAATAAAGTTAAAAAAAGTCCATAGGTTATTTAAATACAATTTGTAATCAGATTTGTATAATTACTTCCAGATAATTCAATTACAATACGTAGCCGATGAGAATGGATTTCAACCACGCGGTGCCCATTTACCGACCCCACCACCAATCCCAGAGGAAATTCAAAGAGCATTAGACCATCTAGCGACACTCCCCACTCCGGGTCCAGAACTTAATAGAATAAGAATTTAATTATTAATTTATTTAAACAGCATTTATTACCTATTATATGTTTTTTACTTTTAATTTAGACATATTTATAAAAGATTATACATTTTTTGCGCATCTTATTAACGTGGTTTTATTTTATATGCGACGTTTGAGGCTCTTAAAGACAGGAGCAGTAAAAGTCTCGGAAATATTAATTAAATTGATAAGTTTTTAAGTCATGCATTTATTCAATTTAATCCTAGCTTTTAAAAGTAAATAATAATTAATAATTAATTTATATTATTATAATTTGTAAGCACATTAAGGTTTGGTTTAATAATATCATACTGGAATACATAAAAATATCAGCAGAATTGATAGGAATGTCTACCAGATGAGGGATTTGAAAAAAGCTTACATGTAAAAAAAAAAAATTGATATTTTAATTCAAAGGATGTATGGATATAAAGAAAATTCAAGCGCAGAAGAGATATTGAAGACAGCTTTGATAGGTTTAGCGGTTAAGGTCAGTTAATATTATAAGTGATTGCTCAACGAAGGTTTTCTGATGTTTATCTTACGAACATCGGTTATTAATTTTTTACCGCCTACGCCGAAAATGCTAATTTATTCATTTGTAATTAATTGAATTATGTAAAATTAATTTTACGATTAAGAAACAATTTTTTTTAAATACTTATGGAATCTCAAGGATTCGAGAATTGTAATAATAATATTTTTACTTTAACTACGAACATTATAATAATAGCCATTATCACAGCATATTATATTTTATACAAAATAAGCTTTTGGCTAAGGTTTTGGATACTTTGAAATTCTCGTATAATGCTATTCAATGTAGTCTTAGAAGTTTATAACTAAAAATACCAGCGCTGAAGTAATTTCGTATGAAAATTGTTTAAAAATTATGACAGTTCATACAAGTCTAAAGGCCTCATTTGAATAAAGAACTATTTTTAAAATAAAAAACAAAAAAGCATCGAAATCCACAGACAATCGAGACGAGCCAAAAGGTGTTAATTCTACACTCTATGCTCGTCATCTGGCGACCTGGCTTGCTCAACAAGCAGTCAGTTCACTTTCCCCGCCGTGTCAAGGTCGCCAGACCACCGCATTGACATCAGCATACATCTTCATATTGTGATTCCGAGAAATGATTATTATCTTAAGGAAAGCTCGAAGTACTTTAACAGGAATTATCTTCTAGAATAAGTTATTATGTATTGTTTGTGTTTTTCTAACGTGCTATACATTATTACAAGACTATTTTTTTAATTTAAACGTTTGGTTACAACATTAATGCATTGAAAATAACATAGATAGATAAAAGATAATGAAAAAAAACTAACATTTTAAAACAAGCATTTTCAAGTGGAGTCCCATTAGGAGCAAATTTATTTATCACTCATAAAGATGCTTCCGAAAAATACCAAATTTAAATTTCGAATTATCAATTATAAACCTAATAATACTAAACTAAACATATTCATAACGAAACTTGTTTTAATTTGAAGTTTACTTAAAATAAATTGTGTTTATTAAAATCTACAGTTAAGTGACTTCACTAAAATAATCGTTAAATAAATAATTACAAGCGAATTATGTGATAAATCAATTAATTATTTTCATATATATATAAATCTTCTATGCATGTGTTTGTAATTCAACTCCTTAACAGCTGAACCGAATATGGTGAAATATTTTTTGTGCTTAAGTGAATTGTTAAGATTGACAATTAAATGATTTTTTGTTTGAAATTGTTATAAAAGAAACCCGTTTTAACTAAAGTACTTTACCTTTCTGTGATTTTATTTCTGTTGGTGCAATTAGACAGAGCTTTTTTTTTTGGCTCTAGCACAGTTTGTGCATTAGTCAGCGTCAAGTATAAGATTTTTATAATTCGCGCTTTTTGCCTTAGAAATTCGACCATAGCCTCCATGTACGGTTTAGACACTCGCCCGGTACCGCACAACCCTCCCAAAGGCCGAGATAAATTTTAATTAAATTAAAACTCGCCCTCGAACCGGGAATCGAACCCGGTACCCTTCACCTAGCTGCCACTTAATAAGACCGTTAGGCTATGAGGCCCCTTAGACAGAGCTTTAAGTAAAAATATATAATAATTTTTAGTCTGAAACATATCGCAATTCTCAACTAAATAACTGGCTGATTCTAACCTACTCAGCTGCCCACAATTATGTACATAACATCTATGAAATCTTTTGTTGTAAGAACCATACATGAATGATTATGGAATTACATAATGTTACATCCAACAAGATCTTAGCAGATACATTTTCAATCATGTGTTGTAATCTTTTATCGGAACAATACACAATCATGGTTCTGCCCGGGGCTTGCAATGCCTCGTCAATACATCATATAGACTTTCTATCTTGAAAATATTATATCACTTTTATTTTGAAGGATTTATTATCAAGTACTCTATGCTTTTAAGGGTACGCTAAATTTTACATATGAAAGCCATACTGAAGTGTGCTGTTACGCTAACAGACTCTCATTTAAAAACATTATATTTAATTTCACACACATGGATTTCACATATTATGGGGGAGTCATGTTTAGTGATTTTATCCATAATCATCTATATCCATGGCGACGTCTGTCCTGGAACTTACTAATGGGGGCCTAACTATTTTTTTCTTTGTTATAAATGACTTAAAGTAGCTTAAAGTAGTTTCCCATATCCATAGCCAATCCAATCAAAATAAATTATTCTATTTCATAGTCGTTCCTTCACTCCCTTAAACGATCATATTATTAGCTAATGGGCGGTTAAGGTTAAATATTATTCTAACATTACATTTCTCAGAGTCTGTTAGTAGCTTCTGTAATACAAAAAATGGGTTTTCACAATTACGAATATTTTACCCGAACATAGAAAGATTTTTAAAGCCTAACCATACGCAATTATAGGTCTGGAGTTTTAATATTCTTTATAGCTTTCTTTACTTATGAACTAATTGGACTTTTTAATAAGTATAATATTAATTTAATTAATTCCCGTAACTTTCTCAATCGATAAATCATAAGAAATAGTCTCCTCAAACAATATATCCTTACGAAGTCAAGGCAAATTGGATTTTGATACTTCAAAACTGCATGCACGCTGAGGTCAAAATGGTAAATTCTTTGTTGACAATTACGTCTGCGCTAACATTCAATTCGAGGTAATGCATTTGTTTACTTATTTCATAGATTTTGCGCAAGGAATTACGAAATTAGGAATGCCGGGAGGTGGTCATTTATACTATAAATACTCAAATCGGGACATCACAGCATCGATACATTGTACTTAAATCATACATTGACAACCAGTCATACATACAATGAGGTCTTTTGTAAGTGTCGTGTTGTACGTTATGGAGTTTGCTAGTGTTGTGAAAATAGTTTTTTGTGTCGCTAAACGTGATTAATAAATGGTTCCAACCATATGGGCGCTAAAGATTTCATCTCGAAGTTTAACCACTGTTGATAACAGTAGAGATAGGAATAAAAAAACTACTTAGTAATCAAAAACTCACTCACGTTTGAAGTTTATTAACAATGTTATTTTTCAGGTAATTTTCGCGTTAATCGTCGCTGCGGCCGCGGCAGCCCCTCAAGCCCCAACTGAGCCTATTCCCATCCTCAGACAAGACAGTGAAATTAATGGTGATGGCTCATATCAGTACGCATTTGAAACTGGAAATGGTATAAGCGCTGACCAAAAGGGATCCCTGAAGAAGGTTGGTGATGTTGAAGCTTTGGAGGTTCAAGGACAGTTTCAGTACCCAGGAGAAAATGGAAACATCCAGTTGACTTACACCGCTGATGAGAATGGTTACCAGCCCCGAGGTGACCACTTACCCACTGCACCTCCAGTACCCGAAGCTATCCAGAGAGCTTTAGCCTATATTGCCACAGCTCCTCCACAGCCTGAGAACGCGTAAAGTTATTAAAGTTTAGTTTTTCGTATAATATAATATTAAGTAAAATATGTATTTTATTCAACTCTACCAAACTTCGTCCTGTTTCCAGTAAAATTAAATAACTATTTAAATTAACGTCACTGTAGAATGATAACCTCGTATGTCAAAAAAATATTTTTTTTCTTAGACTCATGTCATTTAACTGGTATAATCATGAAGTACCATCTTTGGAAAGAAACACATAATAGTATTTTAACGAACATTGACGAAATGACACATTTTTTTCGTTTCCTGTAATGTTTGGTTCTCTGGACATACGAGGCTATCATTCTACAGCGACTAATTTTTTATTCAAAATCATCAAGGCACCTGTTATAACCAAGAACCTTACGGAGTTTTAAAGCGGCTCTTGACATTAATTATTTCAGTAAATGTTTTCCTCCTTCTCTGTGTTAAAACTTATGTAATATTTTATAAGGGTTACAAGAAATTTTTGATAACACTTAAACAACTCTTTTTATGGCTTTAATAATTTATATGATATTAAAAGTTAGTTTTAAAATAACAAACCGAGCTATTTACTAAACTATAAATGGTTTTATAAATTAATTCCAAATCTAGGATTTGCCTTGATGCCTTGCTAGACGGAGCTTGGCTATTTATTAAGGTCGATTTACGACAAAACAATAACAAGGAAAAAACTCCATTAGGTCTTCAATATAAATTCCAAATTTAAAATTTGAAAGTTCGGAATTTACTTAATTATTAAACGTTTTATCGTCTTAAACATACGATAAAGTAAAAAAAAATATAACCTAAGTATAATAATGTTAAAATAAGAGTAAAAATGTTAAAATAATGTAAAGTAGTAAAGTAGTAGTTCGTAAAAATATAATATATTAATTTCCATTCATATGAAACAATATTTAAATAAAATCCTCGTTATTAGTTACCTAATTATTGTTTTTATAGATCTACATTTGGTGACTGACTTGAAAATCTACTGTATTGACATGATTTCACAAGTAGACATATCTATTCCACAATCGTTTACATAGTTTTGGCCTAGTGGCTTAGCCGTGGAAATCTCCATTTTGAGGTCGTACGTTTGATTCCCAGCTATGCAGCGATGCTTTATTAAGTACGCAATTGAAACTTGCTCTTAATGGTTAAGAAATGTGTCCGATTGATGATTTATTTAATTTTATAATGAATTATAAATGAAACAGATGGATATATGTGTTAAAAATAGTATTGCCATTAGTAATAATTACTATCTAATCACCTTCATACAAAAACATGCTTTATAACCTTACATCAAAAAGCTACATTTTATTATTCAGGTTTAGGTTTAAGAATAACTTTATTTCTCATAAGAATTGAAAATTCACTTACTGAGAAACACATATTTAAAACTAAGATTAAAAATTAGAGCGCACAGATGTAGGTACATATTTAAAATAAGAAAACAGATTTATGTTAAAATCTTGGTTTTAATATATTTACATCTAATTCTTTTAAATTCAGTTTCAGAAGTATTGTTATGTTTGTATGATATATAATGGAATTAAGCGTAACTACTACGCGGGTTTTTTAGGTTCCGAACCGTACTTCAAAGTTAATTAAAAACTGCACTGGCGCTAATCAGACATAACTTGGCATTTGGTACATATATAGTACAAACATATGTTTAACAAGTGTTAAACTTCGCTATATAGCGAAATGCTGCATTAAGAACTGCTAAAGGGACCAAACTTATTATTTTGTTCTATTAAATACATTTAACAATTGAATGCTTCAATAGACAACACAATAGACAAAACAGCCTCCCATTCAGACCTCAACCATAACCAATAAAGACCACTACACCACAGGCAAGACTAATACTTAAACAAGAATTATAATAATAAACGATAAGTGAGTCTTTTATCTTGTAGGTCTCAAAACGGGCCACGATATACCGGCTGTAGGAGGTTAATAAAAAAAAATTAACATTGTATAAAAACTCCATTTTAAAGTTCAAAAATATTGCAAATATTAAAAGCCTTTAAAAACTAAACCTCTCAACTTTTGACCTTATACTTTATAGTTATAATAATTATAAATATTACCTTGGTGTTCAAGATGATTGTAAATTAAACGATGTTATTCGTTGCGTTCGTTAATTACTCAATAAAAACTTGATGGCAATTCGACTTGAATAGGTTATCTTATTATAAGTAGGCAGATATTTTGTAATTTGCTTTTTGTGACATACGCATGATGTTCTAATGTTTGCTGTTACGCAAATAACTTTTGGGCTTTACCTTTTTATTATATAAAAGCGGCCCCGTCCCGGCTTCGCACGGACATTTATTTTTTAAACATTTTTTTGATATTAATATGTTCTTTAATATTGTGGAACATTTTTTATTCTATTATAGTTTTCGCAGCGCATGCGATGAAAGATATTTTATAGGCATTTTTGTTACACCCTGGGTAACATTTGTGTAGTTTTAATAGGGATCCTTATTTTTTTCTGGCAATTAAAATATACATATTAATCAGTGATAATGTCGGTGAAAAAAATGGTGAAAGAATTTTTAAAATCGTTCCACTACTTTTTGAGCCAATTCGCCCTTTGGAGTAGAGACTCTTGGGCCGTAGGGGTCAAGTGCACAGGCGCTAATTAAAGGTTTAAGTTGGCGCCTGGTAGATAGTAGCGGTGACCCTCAAGCTGGTGCTTTCCTCGCTGAACGAATAAGTATCTCAATACAGCGAGGAAATGCTGCCAGCGTTAACGGAACATAGGGACCGAACTTATTAAACTTGTTTAATTTTCTATTCATTAATTTTTAATTATTATCATTACTATGTTGGTTAAAAATATTGTAAATATTTGTGTGTTGGAAATAAATATTTTTTTATGTCATTAAGTCGTTGGCAATGCAATAGTTACGTAAAGAACAAGGATTCTAAACAGCGGTTTATTTACCTTAATTTTCGACAAACCGAAACAATAATTGCTTTAAGGTGATAGGCACAGACACCTAAAACTTGCCATATAATAATTAAAATACCAGCTATATATGTGTCTGTAAGTGTTTGTACTATAGGTAAAATGTTTTAGAGCTAACCTAAAAAAGGAATTAAAATCTATTTTACTAAATAATATATATTAAAAATAAAATAGATCAATTAATATTCAATTTATAATTTACTAATAAATACGAAAGAGCAGTGTTGGTCTAGTGGCTTCAGCGTGCGACTCTCATCCCCGAGGTCGTAGTTTCGGTCCCGCCTGTGCACCAATGGCCTTTCTTTCTATGTGCACATCTAAAATTTAACATTTGCTCAAACGGTGAAGGAAAACATCGTGAGGACACCGGCATGCCTTAGACTCAAAAAGTTCACGGCGTGTGTCAGACACAGGAGACTGATCACCTACATGCCTATTGGATAGACAAATGATCATGATACAGATACAAAGAGGCCCAGACCTCAAAAGGTTGTAGCGCCACTGATTTATTTATTTTCATAAATACGAAATAGTATCCCATACCCAGAGATCTCTCCCAACTGACATTCAACGCGATAAACAGCCTTTCATTGCAAACAAAATTGCCATAATTCATTTATTAGTTTTATTCTGCGAAACCAAAATGAATATTGGTAACACCAGTGATAAGTTGAAATGCAAATACTTTGTTTGGATATCTATTGTGCCAAAAGGTCAAATTGAAAGTTCAAGTGACATTTGTCTACCGATTATATAAATATTGACTTTCCAAATTTAAACCATTGTTTAAATATATAAATATATGTCATCAAAAACATACTCCATATTTATATAATTATTTATGCTTATGTATAGTATTTGTTAGTGTAAATTTAAGTGTAATTGTCATTTTAATTTAAAATAAATTATCTGAACCTCAGTTGTGTTATAGTTCATGTAGGTTTCTATAAAAATATATTTTTTAAATTCCATAAAAACTACGACTTAACTACTTACTTTCGAAAACCTTTGGCTATTAATAAAAAGTTTAAAGATTATTTTATTATAACCTTGAATATTTGTCTTTAACTGTAACCTTAATTGGTTTAAGAACTATAATTTTTAAAGGCTCTGGAGCAGACTGTTTTTAAAGTGTTTATAGGGACTTCTGTAACTAAATTCCAGAGAAATAAGAGCCAAAGTCTTATATCACAAATTACTGAGGCGGGAAGATCCTAAGCATCACATAATAATTTATTTATTTCCAGCATATACGCTTAACAATCATTATATAGGTAATTTATATTTTACATACTACTTTAAACTATTAACACATTTTATTACCACTTAAAACAAATTATATTTGTCTAAATAGGCATTTTACTTAAATATATTGTTGTTAAATAAAAATATTACTTATACATATATAAAACATAAGTTATTTAAAAGTATATATCGCTTAAAAATAAATATTTTACTTTTTAAGGCAAGTTTATACATTTATACTATAATAATAATAAAGCTTTATTTAATTCCATGCATAGTACATATTTAACAATACAATTTGGTACTTATTAGTCGATAATAATCAATAACAGTTGTTACACTTGTATGAATTATTTGATTTCTAATTATAAATTCTATTTTGTAATTATTATTTCTTTAATTTATTTATTGTTTGATTATTAATTTATTTATTTTATTTAATATAATAATTATTATTTTTATAATTTAATGCATGGACCCCATTCGGGTAAAAGCCTCCCCAAATAATTCCATCCTTCTCTGTCGTTAGCTCTGTCTAGCCAACTTCCACCCGCGCATGCTACTATTAATACTAGTACTATATAACTAAGTTTTGATCTTAAATAAGAGTGCAAAAAATTCAAATAAGATTATTGTTACTAACTAATAACTATATCCTTCAAATCCCATCTCATTACCCTTCCTTTCTTGTCAAATCCATTAAGGTCTCTTCAGTGAGGCTATGGAATTCACTTCCCGTCCATAGATATTTATAGTTCTTAGCATAGTTCTTCTCTATCTTCTTTCGTACTAATGTGAAACTGACACTTTTTCTTTTTCAAGTGTCCTTTTTTAGTATTGTCCTGATCATTAACTTAAGTATTAATTGCTTTTCTTTCTTTCAATAGTATTGTATTCATAACTATATGTCTTATGTATTTTTGCACTAATTGCTTAACTTATCTAATTTAATTTAAAAAAAATTCTCATAGTGGTTGCCTGGAAGAAATCGCTCCTATTCATTTAATTAAGTCAATTGTATTATATTTCGGCAACGAAGTTAATAATTAAATAAATAAAAATAATAACAGCGTAACATTAGTTTTCCTTATACTGACAATTTTTGCTTTGTTTTAATTTAGACTAGTTAAAACTAATATAGATACAACTAATAGTTTCTCGTTACCACAAAAAAAATAAAACGTAGTATAAACGTACTGAAGTTTACTAACACCTAAGTTTTAAATAAATTGTAAAATTAATACATGAACATACATGCATATGTAATACGTCATTATAATTAAGATTTCAAATTGATTGACTTCTAAAAATCATTCATACACTCGCTCATATTCAAACTGATTTATTTTGACGGGGCGTATGGTGCAATACCACCCAGTGGTGGTAAGTGGCACCGTGATCCACCCGTATATATACCGAAATACACAGTTAGACCAACATTGTCTTGTGCCTTCACCGACATTTCAGTACCATGAAATCCTTTGTAAGTGGCTGTGCTTAGCTTTGTGACCTTATGCGTTGACCTATAGAGAATATGGAAAAAATCTACTATATTTTTATGTGCACGTGACTCATGGATTACATCATGCAAATAGTAGTGCTTTCTAAAAAGGAGTTTCTTTTCACAGATTGTCTTATCCCTCCTGGCTGTCGCTCTCGCGGCTCCCCAAGGACAAGAGCCCATCCCGATCCTGCGCCAGGACAGCAACATCAACCCAGATGGCTCCTTCCAGTACTCCTACGAAACCGGAAACGGAATATCGGCTGATGCGACCGGTCAGCTGAGAAACATCGGAGCGGAGGATCCAGCTCTCCAAATTCAGGGACAGGTGCAGTACACAAGCGACGATGGAAGCAACATCCAATTGACGTACGTCGCCGACGAGAACGGATACCAACCCCAGGGTGCGCATCTCCCCACACCACCCCCAATCCCAGCTGACATTCAGCGCGCTTTGGCCTACCTTGCCACCGCACCACCTCAGCCACAACAATAAGTAATCAAACTTGGAGTTAGCCAATTACGAACGAGTAAGCATTACGCCACAGATTAGCATATCGTAATGGTTATTTGTTTGACCGGGCATAACTTTTACGAAAGCTATAGTTAATATTGTCAGCAAAAGTTTGAGGCTCCATAAGGCTAAGTTCGAGCTACAGTGATATTATTTTAAATACTTTTGTATATAATTTTATACTTAACTTAAATAATTTCTAGAAAACTTAATTCTTTTATTTTCAATCCTATTTTTGAGTCAGCGTTACCATGAAGTGTGTTACAAATGGCGCTAGGCGACTCTCTCTTAGAGGTACTACTTCCTACAATTAGAACAATAAAAAAAAAGCGCGTGCGTACCAAGTACACATGTCAGAAGTGAAACTTCTTTGTAAATTAATTATTGAGTAATTAAGCTGCCCAAATGCCATAGTTGAATTTTGCCAGTCTTTCTATATTAATAAATGGTTGTTATGTATATAGAAATACCACACAACAAATTTGTTATATTATATGGTAACAATTACCAAATAATATAACAAATTCATTATTATCATAATTGCTAACTTATGTCCACATTATCTAAAATAACCAACTTGGTCTTAGCAAAAAGGTTCTGTGCCCTTATATAAATACAAACCCAACAAATAAAATGGTAATTTAGTAACTTTTTATTAAGAATAATATCGATATGTATTAAAACACCATCGGTGTTTTAGTCTCAATCGCGCCTAAAGAAATTTCACTTCAAAAATAAGCTTTGAATATTATCGACTACATTTTAATAATTCAAATGAAACTAAATCATCAAATATGCCTCTCGTTAAAAAATACTTTTAATAGGCATTAGATGTCGTAACTGTTATTACGCAAATGAGTTTTTAAACATTAATTTTGTAAAGGTAACTAGGTTACATCTGAGTACGATTCCATTACGATTTCAATATGTAGGCAGATGTATACAGATCATAATAATTTTACTGGCAACATACATTTTAGATAAAAATAGAATTTAATCGTTAAATTCAAATGCATATAGATTAGCTGTTGTACTAATTGTTAGGTAAAACATGGCAGTTATATTATGTAAAAACAAGTGCGTGCGTACAAAGCACACATGTCGGAAATGAAACTTCTTTGGCAAACTATTTTTTAAGTCTTGTTCATATTTATACCAATCTAAACTTTAGATATACGTGACTTAGAGGGAGGGAAAAAGGAAGATATGTAATGAATTTAATTGTCATTAAAATATTAAGTGTCGAAAATTAATACAAATTATAAATTTAATTTTGTAAATTTCTTTATTCGGTAATAATAATACGTGGCATTCTAAATTACAATTCGTCATTTGAGGTTTCAATAAATTCATTTGCATAAAATATAAAATACTAATATTTCATAAATTCTCTTTACGAAATGTTAATTTTAATAATAGATTTTCTATAAGGTAATTCGCCCTTCTTACTCTCTCTCAATCGGTCTCAATCGCTCCCTCTCTTTTCTTCGGCAAAAACGCTACACCCGTAAACGTTTTACCCTCATGCGCCTAAAGAAGTTTCACTTCAAAAATATACTGTCCTTATCAATTTTCTATCCACCGGTAGACAGCAGTATCTGCTTTAGTATGGTCTCATCCCTGAGGTCCTAGATTCGAGCCACGGCTGTGCACAAGGACTTCTATGTGCGCATCTCACGAGAGGAAACCGGCATGTCTCAAATACAAAAATCGACGACATCAGACAGGAGGTGTTTATGAAATAAAAATATAATGAAAGGAGCGGATGCAATCTGAATTTGACGGCTCATTGGTCTAGTGGTTAGTACCCCTGACTGCGAATCCATGGATCCCGGGTTCGATCCCCGGCTGAGACAAACATCGATGTGATAAGCATTTGGTCAAAGGTTTCCGCAAACTGATCAAAACCTTACAACCTTTTCCCCTCACACCTTACAGCCTCACATTTCTGTAACCATTTCATGGTCATTTGTTTTTTATAATAGACAAACAGGTGATCAGTCTTCTATGTCCAACACCTGCCGTCGACTCTTTTAAGTCTATAGCCGGTTTCCTCACGATGTGTTTCTTCACCGTGCGAGCGAATGTTAAATATAAACACACGAAAAAATTAAAAGTACCCTATACTCATTTATTTGTGGGAATATCGCTATGAAAATTATCGAAATAGATTAGTTTGGTGTGAAAGCGTAACCAACCTATATTCGTATTTATAAAAGTCGCAACTCCTTTAAGCTTAAAATTATGTATAAAGTGCTTGCATAGTTTGTACATTTAGCAAACATTATTAATTAAAAAAAACAGTCTAATAGCGCCGTTTTCATTTAAGTATGTCTGTCCCTTTTCATCGCAGCGTAAACACAATAGAACATAAGGGACAAAAACGTACCTGTTAAAAGAGTTCAACTACTGATTTAGTATTTTTTTTTATTCTTGCTTGAAGACAATCTAATTTTACGCGTATAATCTGTGGCTTCACAGTTTATATTATTTTAGGTCATAGAACGTAATGTTCAAAGCACATGATTTGCTATTGCAGATGATATTCTTTGACCCCACGACCTCCTTGGAGGTGGTAATAATAGTCGTTGACATTTAAACAAAACTAGTTTTAGAGGCCTCCGAGCGTTGCCAACATATTCTCTAGTTTTTTTTTAATTTATTGACTCGACAATACTGCCGCGTCGTTATCATAGACATAATATTAGCATATCTCATTGTAGCATCGTCTTTATAGTTATGATGAAGGTTATTTATACTTTGCAATAATTTATGATATTTTGAATTAGTTTTCTGTTAATAAATGCCATACAAAAGCAACCCATTACCTGTCTCACAGGCACACGTCTACCCAGGTCTTTTTAAATTAATATTTCCAGTAATGTTAAGGTAAAAAAGTGAACCTAAAATAGTTCATCCCAATTTTAACATAGAAAAAACATCGTAACCACGGTAGCAGATACCTCATCTCCCCTTTTATTGCAGGGTCAGGACAGACTGTTTGATTTTTATTGCCATACACTGTAATATGCAGTAATGTTGCTAGTTTGTAAGGATCATAGTACGAGTATATATTATAGGTAACTAGCGGACCCGGCAAACGTTTGTTTTGCCATGTATATTATTTCTAGGAAACATCTTTTTAGTTGATTGTAGAAGGTTAAAAATTAGGGGTTGTAATGTATTTTTGTATGCTGTATCATAAAAAAATAAAAACAAAAAAAAAATTCTGAAAAAAATTTTTTTTTGGGGTGGACACCCCTTATGACTTTGGGGTAACTTACTCACTTAACACTTATTGAATATGCGTCGAGCCGTTTTGGAGGAGTACGGGAATGAACATTGTGACACGAGAATGTTATATAGAGATTATTCTGTTTGCATATATATATCCCTAGAATTATTATTCTACGCTGAAAAACAGGACAAGACAAAATCGTGAATTTTAAAACAAATTTAAGTCTTACACAATTATATACAGCAAAATTTATTTACGATTTTCATACAATGAAACTTTGTAGAGTATACAAGATTTTGATTAGTTTTTGTTAGTAAATTTAAAATAATTTTAAATAAAATTCTAACATTAATCTTTCACATGGCCTTAAATTAACAAACATTGCTGGTTACGAAAATATACAGATAACTTGTTAAAAATGCAATATAATATTGCATGTTTTTAATATTATTACAATTATTGGTAACGTAGCTATATCCGGTCAAAGATTTCACAAATGGTTTATGATTACATGTAATCAGCATTAAGTTGTGTTCACGGGTTTTTTTTTCACATGGAGAGGGTTGAGGCTTTTTGCCAGACTACTTCTATTATTTTTGTGCTTTTTAAATACAATATAATACACTAAAACACGAATTTCGTTTGATGAGATTACATTGCATGATTGTGTCTAGAGTTTGAATAATGGTTTCGTTAGGGAATTTGTCATTTTCTCTTATTTTTAATAATTTTTTTTTGCACATAAGTGCCCAGTAAAGTATCGTGTGAATAACACACGAGTTATATCTTAAATATTATTGCACTTTTATTAGTAATCATAACAAACAAATATACAGTATTTTCAATTTAACTACTAACTTAACCTATAGTAATAATAAAAATAATTAAAAATTAATAATACAAATTTAAAAAGTTTGGTCCCTGTGGCAGTGTACGTTTAATGCATGACGCATTTCCTATTAGTTGAGCGAGGAAAGCATCAGCTCTTTCTAATATCTAATATGTAACAAAAGCTGGATATTAATAGTAATAAAACTTTTTTATATCCGAGGTAGGAAAAGGAAATGCATTTGTGTATTCCTTGCTCCCAAGACAGCAAGAGGCTTAAATACTTCAACAAGACCGTATTAACAGAATGCTGACCTACTTGTTCTTAAAATTATTAAAGCCTGACGTATTACGAAAAACCTAAATTATATATTATTAACGATGTAAATTAGATTTAAGATACTACTGTTACATCAGAGTAGCATGTAAATTTAAAGGTCAGTGAATAAAGGGCTTTTATTATTATTATTATGAGTTGTTATGTTTTCTAATTCATTTATATTTGTCATAAAATCTTTTTAAATTTTATTTGGACCAAAGACAATCCGATTTCCTAGAACATTCTACTAGAATATACTCGACTATTAAACAGTATTAGGCGTTTTATTCTTACCAAATCACTGTCGCTAATATCTTAGCAATTTATAAAGAATTCGTAATTTCTCGAACTATATTCAAGGGTTTAAAATGTTTTAAAGACATTATCAATCAGTCCTATTATGTATCTTTAGATTTGTGTCGTTGAATTGTCATATTTTTAGGCTGTATCTACCGAATAAGGCGTGGGAAGATACATTTATTTAATTAATTTCCTCTTTGTTTAAAGGATTAGTGATTAGCAACACTAAACGATATTAAATCGAATACAAATCACGGAATGTTCACTAACCAATATTTATTTATTAATTAACAAAAT